TAAGAGACAGCAAGGGAGGCGGCCCGGCCCTTCTCGATTCAACAGACCGTGGCCCCAGACTCGCTTTTCCAGCCCGGTGCCGCCCGGATCCGGTAAAGCGAGGGGCAGGAGGTGGCTGCTCTCGGCGGCAGCGCGCTGGAAACCTTATTTCAAGCCTCAGGTTATTTCTTCTTAGTATAGCTATTGCTTTTGGCCCGGAGGAGCAGGGTTTTCACGTTTGACGGGTGAAGCGGTGTTGAATTGCAAGGAGGATGCGAACTGTGGGGCTGTAAATAGGATAGGTGTGTTAATCAGGTCCCATAAAAAGGTAATTTGTAATAACTCTTTTAAGTTTTATGGCTGCAGAGGCTGGCCGTGGTGTGGGAGCAGTGCAGCCGTCTCGGCTCCTCTCTCTTGGAGGTGGATATCCGAGCAGGTGGATGGGGAAGTTTCAAGCTCCTGGTTCAGTCTCGGGGCGATGGGTTGATGGTCAGTGGGTAACAGCTGGGCACAGACCTGCCTGCTCTGCCCTGTGAGTGCGGCTGGGTTGGGAGCCCCACGTGAACCCATTCGCTCTCCCCAAGCACTGTTCACTGAGGCATTGCCTGGGTTCTGTACTGACAGGAGTGATTTGGGAGTGTTCTCTGTCCCTTCCAAAATCCGCATGCTCAAGCCATGTCTGGATATGGGTTGTGGTTCCTCAGAGCAGGGCGGAAGCTCTCCCTGTCCCAGAACAGCCTAGGTTTGCTCCCTGACCACGATGCAAACCCCTATACCTGCCTCTGCTCTCTTCCTGACCCTCTGACTGGTTAGTGGCCCCGTGTCAAATTGAGGGTATCTTGAGATGAAATCAGTGATGTGGGAATGCAGCTGTGGGCGCTGGGAGCATCTGGGGAGGTGTAGATGGACTGAGACATTATCTACATCCTGTGCTACCCCCCAGAAACCACCTGTGTTCCTCATGGGGAGCAGATTCCTGCTGTACTGCAGGGCAAAGTTACCTTTATTTTTGGATGGGTGCTGCCCAGTGGATGGTTGGACTAGGAAGGGGTTTGCTCACAAGAATTGAGGGGCTGTAAGGTGGTCTCTGGGTGGAGGCATTCAGGTCTTGGCCTCAAACTCTCCACCCAGCGCTGGATCCGTGTTTGCCAACGGCTTTATCCATTCTTATTCCAGGTGATCAGCCCCTCCGGAGAGTCGACAGATGCTGTAGTCATCCTGGAAAAGACTCCTTTCCAGGAGGAGAAGGTATCAGAACTGCTGAAGAAACACACGAAGTTGGAGCTGCAGATGCGCAACGACATTTACAGCACATACCACCTCTATCCTCCCCCGGAGCTGAGTGGTGAGCGCTCTTGGCCTCGTTTGGGGGGGATCCTGGGAGGGTGGCTTGCTCCATGGCTCAGCTGCAGACCAGTGGTTGTGGCTCAGATGCTGGTTGGCCTGATCCTGCCGGCTCAGGAGGGGAGGACATAGCAAGACCTGCAAGTGCCACTGCCAGATGCGACCATGCCAGCCCAGTTGTGGTTTGGCTGACAGCATCAGACCTGGCTGAGGTGGGGAGATCAGTGGATTTTTGCTGCTCTGAAGCCAGCATCTTGCTCCCAGGGCTTTGGATGCTGCCTCGTTTCACCCCCTTTTCCCTGTGCTGTCAGACTCCTAGCTCAGCTGATGAATCACTGGCCATTAAATGGCCATCACTTGATTGCTTGCAATCATATGCATTGATTTAAAGGTGAGGGACTTGTGGGTCTGAAAGTTTTGCTTCTGTTTTTTAAAGTGATGTCAGTTAATCTGGTAAAATATCTCTCCCTGTAAGGTTTACCTTGGAAACAATCTCTGCAGAACACCTGTCATCTTATTATTCCAGGGTATCATCTTATGTGCTTTATTTTTGTTGCCCAGTGTCCCTGGGTAAGGACAGCTAGTGTGTTTGCAGGAGGGATTTAAACGCAGGTAATCCCAAGTGCCTGGGGCTGACAGGCACCTGGCCTCTGCCTTTCAAGCCTCTCCCTGCTGACTTCACCCATTATGTGTTCCAAAATCCAACTGAAAACAGAGTATGATGAGTCTGAGAGTTTCGGTGGCAGGCTGTCATCCTGCGAGGTGGACTCTTGTCACAGGGAAAGGTGTCCTGTGCTGGCAGCGCTCCACATCGTCTCTGAAAAGCAGGGCTGATCTTTGGGCAGGTTGGGTGCTCCGATTTAATGCTGATATGTGTTTAAATTCTGGAAGTCCAGTAATTAATTACGTGTCAATGCTTCCATAAGCACAGTGATAGCCAAACAGGTTTAACAGTCAAAATTAATCAGCGTGATGGCCTTAAGTAAGTTGTTGTTGCAGTCCTGACTTATATTTTCAGGATGTTTGAACCTTCCTGAAAATGCCCCTGTTTTAGCACTGTTTAGCTTTGGGAGCTTGCAAGTTGTGCAGAGCTCCTCTTGTCCTGTCGAGGACTCAAAATCAGAGGTTTCAGCATTACAATGCCCTATTTCAGTGGCAGGGAAACACCACACCACCGCGTTTTTTGCAGGTGCCCTCTGTGAGAAGATGATAAAGCTCTCCTGCTTCAGCTGGAAAGACTCCTCCCGTGTTTGAGCCTGGCAGCCACTTGCAGCAATTCCCACGAGGTGGCATTGCAAGACTAAAATCCCCCGGGCCCCTCTCCAGCTGCAGCCTTGCTAGTGGGGCTGGCATTTGACTTACTTGTAGCACTTTGCTGCAGTGCTGTATAACTCCAGCGTTAACGCTGATGGCAAAATTTTTATTTAAGGTTTGCTAGGTGTGAAACCCCTCACTGGGGTAAAAAGGCTCTTAAGCGGTCACTGGTCTCCGTCAGTGCTGTGCTGGATCCTGCTTTTTCTAAGAGGCTGGAGCAAAACCAGGTCAATCTGTGTCTTCTCACATTCTGTTTCTGGGCCTTCATTAAACTAAATCCTTGCTCGGGTTGTTTCTGCTCAGCCTGTTTTCTGTGCTGACTGCCCTGCTGTTTGTTTCACATAAGGCTGGACCAAACCTGCTATGCTTTCAGATGAGTGTTTTTGCCTTTCATCGTGGGTTTGAATGGGGGAAAAAGCCTCTGGCTTCCTTCTGCTGAGTTGTATAATTCCAGTTGCCTTTTAGAGGCAATTTTAAAAGTAGGCTTTTGCAGAAACGTTACCCAGTGGTACATCTTTGCTTCCCACCTGTCTCCTTAGCACTGCTGTGCTTGCTCTGAATGTTGGACAGCCCCAAGGAGGAGATCAGGAGAGGACTATGGACCCTGGCGCTGCTCTCCAGGCTCCCCAGCTCTGCACTTCTTTCTTTGGAGCAATTCAGTGCTGAATAATCTGGGGGTTTTTTGCGGGCATGTTGCATGACCTGCTGGCAGGCAGCTGGTCTGGCACCGGAGGAAATGGTCGTGTGTGTCAGGAGGGGAAGGAGATTGCCCTTTTGAGCTGGGTCATGGCCCAAGGAGAGAGTCGATGCGAAGAATGCAGCTTATAAACCTAAAAAAGAAAGAAGGTATTTCCTGTAAGGCTGCAGACAATGTCAGGGCTTGTGAGAAATCCCGGGATGTTGGGTGATTGAGACTTGGTGAGCCTTTGTGGCGGGGTCTATTTTAGCCTCTTGGTTGCAGGGTTAGAGAGATACAGGGTTTTATCTCCTGGCACATGCAGGTTTACACCTGATTAACATGATGCAGTAAAAGTATTTTGCAGGAAAGGTCAAACTTTGGTATTAAGCAATTCCTCTGTAAAGCCCTGGGTTGTGGTGTCACGCAGAAGAAGAATTCACCCTGGGGATTTCACAGCATCCTAGGCAGCTGAGCCCCCCCAGTGCTCAGCTTCATGCTTTCTAAAGGTAAGATAAACCTCCAGACTGAGGAAATCACGACCACAGGTGACTCTTGACATTGGGCACGTTGATGGCGTGAGGAGCTGCCTCTGGGTCCCTCTGCTCTTTCGAGGTGCGTTTCTCAATGCTGCCTTTGTGGTCCCAAGTCCCTGCAGGGCTCTTCGTTCAGCTGGATTTTCTTGATAGCTGAAAGTGGGTATTTTCTTCACCCTCTCCCCGCCTCCTCGTTCAAGTGAGTTGGATGCTGTTCCCTCTGCAGAGTCAAGCTAATGCAGGCCCTGGACGATGAAAGCTTGTTTTGTCTTGGTGGTAAAAGAGCCCGCGAGGCTTGGCCAGTTGCTTTGTCTGTGTGGTGAAGGCAGAGAAAGGGAGGCCAAAAGAAGCATATTACCTGAGCAAATGACTCCCCTCTGTCCTGGAATTTCACTCTGCTGCTTAAAGATGAGATTTTTAGGGAGCACACTGGCATGGGGACGCATGAAGATGGTGCCAGTCAGAAAGAGGACATCTGTGTCTTGCTCAGCTCAGTTTTATTGGCCACTAGGAGAGATGTGTCAAGGCTAAAATGGGGAAAAAACATTTGTAAACGAGCTTAATAAGCTCATCAGAAGGGCAAAACAAACCCATGCAGCTAAGGAAAAGGAAATAGAGCAAGTTGTGAGGAGGAATGGTGTCAGAGAGCACGTCACTGCTCTGCTACTGGCAAAGGCAGCCGTGTGGAACTTATTTTAAGGCCGCTTGCTGGACTTTACGTAGATTTAAGAGGCAGCGTATGTCCAGAGGTGTGAAATACTGGTGGAGGAAATCCCAGCTCTGGGAGTCTCCCTTGTAAGGGCTGTTTTTGTAGCAGGGGAAAGATTTTTTTTTTATTTTTTTTTTTTTCCTGCTGCCAAAGGCTTGATTGCAAAAGCCAGATGGTTCAATCAACATGTTCCCCGATAACAAGATCCAGCTCCTGGTGGTGCTCACACCCATTTAGCAAGGAGAGCTTGCTGTTCCCAGCAAAAAGCGGCTGCCTCTTGCCTGGCTGCTGAGGGATGTTGTGTTTCACAGCACCAAAGTAGTGCCGGCATAATTTAAGGGCTTTTATCAGGCCTTTAAAAAGTATTTACTCACTGGGCACAGCTCATTCCTGTGCTGCAGGCTGAAGCTTTTTGAAAATGTCTAAAAATGAGCACCCAGGGAGACGTTCCAGCTCTGTCTCTCTGACACAGGATGGAGAAATTGTGGGAGAAATGGGAGCGCGTGGAAGGAAAGTATTCAGTCATGCGGGAAGAGATACATATCCTTGCCTTCCCAAGCCCAAAAAGCATCTGGTTTCAGGAAGCGAGGAGCTGGAGGAACTCGCATGAGCTGCACTGGGAAGGCTGGTTGGTCTCCTGGCGTTTCCACGCTCTGCTTGCCTGTGGGGCCTGCCCAGTGAAGAAAACTTTGCATTTACACTTAAATAAAAAGCTGGAGCCTGAAGCAGTGGGAACACATGGGGTGCTTTGGGGGAAGATGGGAGATAGTGCTGTGCTTTGCTCTTGGATTTTTTGGGGGGCTGGTAACCTGCAGATTTCCTCTTTACCGTGGCTGTTGCAGATAGAGCCCACTGAGTCCTCCTTGGATGAGAACCAGGGCCCAGACAGCCTTGGCAGAAGTCCCCTGCAGCATGCTTGGCTTGCCCTGGCATGTGCTGGCCTTGGAGACCGTGAGCTCTTGCAAGCTTTATCCTTTTTATTCAGTAACGAGAGCCCCAGATGTCTGAGGCTGGTCCTACTTGGTTGGGGGTGTGTGAAAATTAGGAGTTCCCCTGTGACTGCTGTGCAGTTGTGATCATAAAACTAAATAAACTGTGTTAATGCAGGAGGGGAAGGTTGTGCATTGTTGTATTTTAGTTAGGGCTGCATTGAAGGAGATGCCTGACAATGGGAAGGCAGAGCAGAGCTGTGTGCAGCAGAAAAGAAGCTTGCAGAGGAAGAGAAAACTTGCAAGAGTGTAAATGTCTTTCTCAGCCGTTTCCTGGGCTTGGCACCTTCCTGCATCTGACAGTTGAGTTGATGAGGCAGATTATAAGACAAAACTCAGCTTCCTTATAGCAAAGGGAGACAAAAAGCACCGCTGCCCAAAAGTAGAAACAGGTTGTTCCTGCCCTGCGTACTTTTTTTGTTTTTGACTCCCTGGCATGTTTAAGTCTATTTAAAACAAAACTACCGTGGTCCGTTTTAGTGTTGCTGAGTGGGATGTGCGAAGTGAGCACAAGGCATCTCAGCGGGTCACCCTGGCCTCTCCTTGCCGTTTGCATTGGTTTGAGGTTTGACATGCTGAGCTGGAGGGGGATTTTGGCAGAGCCAAAGTGAGCCTGGAGTGACTTTCCTACGTGCATGAGCTCGCTCTGCCTCCTTCCCATCTGCGACTTGCAGCTCTCCGGCGCCATAGGGAGCATGGGGTAACATGTTTCATCCTCTCCTCTTGGTGACAGCTGCCTTCAGCCCTTTTTTCCATAAGTTCCCCAAATTGAGCTGTGGTTTGAGGCTTTTTTTGTGTCTTTGGTTGTTTTCTACCCTCCTGTAGTGGTTTAGGCCCTGCTGGGACCGGAGACCACGTTGCTGTTGTCCCTCCCCAACCCTTGGACACAAGTAGGGCACAAATCCCAGGTTAAAATAAGAAGAAATTTAATACAACAGTGTAATAAACTATCTGAACAACAATAGCAATAAACAGTAAACAAGACAAAAGATATACAGAGAAATACCACAATGGATACAGACAGCCTGCTGCGTGCTTCCCGTGACAAAAGCCGCAAAGGAAAAGCTTCCCTTGCTGCAGCTGGACCTGACCTCAGCATGGTATGAATAACCTGGCTGGAGCTCCCTTCCCCCTGCTTGGGAGAAACTTAACCCTATCCTAGCTGAACCAGGACGACACCCCCTCTTGTTTTTAGCAGGAGAGAGGAGAAGTCATTTTGTTTCTGGTCAATCCAAGCTTTGTTTTCTCCTGGGCAGGGAAACAAGGGTGAGGTGTATCCCCTTAAACGCCCTTTGTAGGGTGAACTGCCTGACTGGTTGTTCTCTGCCTTTGCAGCACCTCTGCCTCCTGCTCTTTCAATGAAACCTCCTTTTATATAACCTCCAGTTAACTGAACAGTCAGTCCTGATTTCCAGAATAAACCACAGGCGTTTCATGGTGTCCCTGGGCTGGTGTTCAGGAACAGGCCGGCTGATGTGACTCAGATGGAAGTGGAGACAATCCTTTATCTTCCAGCGAGCTTAAAAACCTACATCACGTGTCCAGCGAGTCTTTACCCCCCATTTCCAGGCCAGGGTGGGTTTCAGCTACCCCACGGCATACGTGATGCTTTAACACATGCAGAGTTTGCCAGGAGCAGGGCAGCTTTTAAAATGGAGCACGAACGCGGCCAGTCGCCAGCAATGGAAAGATTTCATGGCGAGCCCCATCTCGCCGTGGCTGTTTCCTGTGGCTGAGCCCAGCCTTAGCCAGGGCTCTGCATCCTATGCATGGGCTCCTAATGATAGTCAGGCTCTAAGCGTTGATAAAACAGCTTCTCTGGCCGTAGTGATTTATGCTGATTAGCATTGCTGGGGCGTTTCAGAGTTGATGAGACCTCTAGAAGGGAAATAATCATTAGTGAACCACAGCCTCTCCCCCTGCTCTTCTCTTCCAAACATCTGCTGCTCAACCACAGCTGCACATTAAGGATTTCTCTGATCTTGCACTAGGCTTTTCCTAAGTGGCTCTCACCACCACGAGCAGCCACCACCCAAGCTGGGGAGGTGCTTAGGAATCTGTGAAGGGTCCTCTGCAGCCCCATCCCAGCCAGCACACAGACTGTGGTTATCACTACCCCCAGCATAGAGGGGTTTCTGCTGCAGTCCCTGCTCTCATTTTAGGATCTAAAATTAAATTGTGGAAGTTTCAGCCTGAGGCTGCATGTGATATTTTCTTATCTTTTGCCTTTTTGTTTTTTCCCCAGTGCTTTAGTCTTTTTAAGTGAGAAGCGGAGGAGCTACAGCCTTGTCTGTCTTTTTTTTTTTCACTATTACATCATCCTGCTAGAAGTGCTAATCGAGTCCTGGAAAACAACCTTGTTTGAACATGTGTACGGTGGGAATCAGACCAGACTGCCCTTGTGGTTTGCATTTTCATATTTCATGTTACCAGCATTTTCCTGTGGATTTCATTAAGCTGGGTTTGGCATGCAATGAAAAGGCAGAGTCTCCTGGCTTGTGCAGTGCCGACCTTAAAAAAAACAAACCAGAAAACTAAAAAAACCCCAAAACTACCCTAAATCCTGGAACAAATAGATATTTATATTCAGTGTCTATCTAGCATGTATATGTGTGTAAAGCATGAGGCATGACTGTTTGTTACCCCGGTGAGTGTGCAGCCCATGGTTTTTGTGGCCGTGGCAGACCTTGGGCACAAGCTGCAGTGTTTGCAGTGCCCCAGCTACTTGTTTTGGTACAATCTGCTCAGGATTTATCCAGACTCTTGGGGCTTTTCTCCTGCCTGCGTTAAGTTTTATAGCAGCTCTCCGTTAGCTGGGAGGGCAGACGCACTGCTGGTGCCCTTGGAGTTGTGGCAGGCTCTGTATCGCCCTTCTAATCTCAGCCAAAGAGGGATATTTTCTGAGTGTTTTACTGCTGTGGGTAAGATTTACTGCTGCTGAGGTCAAAGCTGCCAGGTTGACAAGGTGCACACTCACATCCTGTTTAATGCCATGGGAATTACGCAGCAAGGGGTAAACAGAAATTGTTTTCCTTTTGCTAGAGTAAACAGTTCTTTGTTTGTCAGCTGGTGCAGGGGAATCACCCAGCCCTCTTCCCTCAGCTCATCCTGTGCTGTGTTAACCCATCAGCTCGTGTTGTTTTCTCTGGATCTGTCCCTGTGCCCTTGACCTCTTTGCCTCCTGCGCTCAGGGCTTGAGGCCAAGCATCCGGACAGCTGAGAGCTTTGGGAAGGAGCTGCTCCTCATGTTGGCCCTGCTGCTTGCAGCTCATGAGGCTGGAGAAAGTTCCTGGGTGCTCTCTCAGTAACATCCCGTGAGCTTTGGATCTAAGTCTGAGGAAGAGGAAGATGCATCTCTGTCCCCTGGGTCATGTTTCTGTCCTGGTTGTTGTCTGCATATAAACTCTTCTCCAGGAGTCCCAGCTCTGCCCCTATATTGCTGATATTCCTGAAAGAGCGAGTGTGGGGAAAAAACCCTTTCAGACAGCAAACTCCTTCACCTGAACTGGAAAGACAGACTATGGCTGTGTTGTCAGCTTGTCCTTCCTCAAGAAAAGCATCGGCAGCCTGGGAGGTGAAAGCACTTCTTTGCTTTCCATGTCTGTTCTCCCCCATCCTGCTATTTTAACAGTATCTTTTTAAAATGTGTTAGTGTGGCATTTATTGGAAAGGAAAACAGATTTATTGGGCGCTGAAGGAAGTAACGTGGGTTTTGTCTGTGATAACTCAGTAAACATGTTTGTTTCTAGAGATAAAAACCACAGTGGTGTACCCTGCCACGGAGAAACACCTTCAGAAATACCTCCGTCAAGAAGTGCACCTTATCCGCGAAACCTGGGAGGATTACAAGAACATAACGCTGCCCTTCATCCAATCCCAGAGCTTCAGCATCCAGGTATGGGTACCACTGCTTCCCCTCTGCAGACATGCCTGTCTTTGATCCCTTCTTCAACACACTGGGCTGTCAAATGTCTCCTCAGAAGCCCGGGTTGAAGGCAGAAGAGTTGGGAGCAGTCTGTCCTGTCTTCCTGTTGGTTGTTCCATCAGTGTGTTGTCCTCAACATGGTACTGCACCCCCTCATCTGCTGGGCAGCCTGCTTCTCAAACACAGCTGGCTGCGGATGATTTCAGCAGGTCCTGGGTGGTGCTGCCTGCTTTGCTGAATGCATCCCCTTATATATTCTGTCTTCTCAAGGCTGTCTTGTAAGCCAAAAAGTTTTTACGGTAACAGTCTGACCTTTGGGCTAAGCTCAGCAATGCTAAGCAGGGCTCTCTTTCCTCTGAACAACCTCAGTGTCCCCATCCGTCTGTTCTCTGGGCCATCCTTCTCCATCTTTACAAACATTTGCCTTGGAGGTGTACCCAAAGGTGCCTTTCCTGAGGTTTCTGGAGACTTTTTGTGCTAGGGTATTCCTCCTCCTTTCTGAGGGTGGCTCCCTGGGTGTTGGTGCTGTTTGTTGGGTTTTTTAGGAGTCTCTTGGGTGTTGTGGAAATGGCAAAGCACAAGATTGCTCTTGGATTCCTGCATCACAACTCCCTCCTCAGGCTTTGCCTACAGCTCCTTGGCTGTTAAGCAGTCTATATCCCACCTGGTGAAGCTGTACTTTCAGTGTCTCCTTGCCCCAGGCAGCAGCAGTGGACTTTTTGGCTGTTTTACATCTTTTTGACCATTCCTCTTCCTATCTTTCTTCTTTAGAGATTAAAGGAGCACAAGTCTGTAGGCACCAATTCGTGCCAGCCTGTGGAGAAGGGGGAATAAAACAAGTCCTGGATCTGCTGAGGCTATCCATTAAAAATAAACCCCCAAACCCAACCAACTGCAGGCCTTGAGTATCTCCCACACCTCTCTCCTGCTGCCTTGAACAGCAGCAGAACAGTTAACAGGGTTCACTGCTGCAATGTCTGTTTCTAATCGCTTGCAGATGAACGTGAACCCTGCTTTCTGCATCTCGTACCAGAAGGCACCTTGCAAGCTGTGGTGTGCACTCAATTACTCCCGCCTGCTTGTCTTTGCTCCAACACCAAGGGACCATTTATTAGCTAGAGAAAGATAAAGAGTGTGTTTCCATCAGACAGAAACCTGCATGAGAATGTTTTCTCTGTGCTTTTGCTCTGAAGTTTCCTGATGTAGCAGCTGCCTTCAGAAGTTGCTTGAGCTCTCAGTCTCTCCTACCACATGCTTGTGGGCTGATTTCTATACATGGAAACATGTTCCCGGTGACCATTGGGAGCATCTGCTGAGACATCACGGTCAGCACAGTCAGTCCTTGACCCCTGTGATTTGATAATGCTGTTTCTTGTCTTTATTGAACCGCTTTTGAGGAGCGGAAGGGGAAATGAGAAGGGTAACAGAAATATTGAGGGACTACAGAGGCGTCTCTGTTTTCAGCTGGAGGATGCAAAGCGTGTATGCTTTCAGTATAATAGGTTTATTGTGGTGCCAGTCTCTGGACATGTGTTGTCCTCACTGGGCTTGTGCTGGAAGCAGCAAGAGCAGTCAGCTGATGAGCTGCCCATCACATGAGGCAGCATTGGGTTTAAAATTCAGCTCATCTGATCAGTGAACTTATTTAGGGCACTGATAGCTTGGCACTTGTGATAAGAGTAGGCAGAAAAAAAACAACCCAAAGGGCAAACTTTCATTTCCTGCTGAGCTTCCTGCCCTGCTTTTCTTCCAGGGTCACAGAGCACAGCGGTGCCTTCCAAAATCGCTTTGAGAATCCAATCTTCTCTAAGACCTTGTTGCTAGGAAGACCAGAAATTTAAGCCAAAAAACCCCCACCAGATCAAGGGAGGAAAGGTTTGTTTGTTCTCAAAGATATATTCAGGTCAGTTCACAATGATGCTAAGTTTTGATTGGATTAATTAAATTCTTGACAGAGTTCCCCAAAAGGGCTGTCTTTTTACCTTCAGTGTCTGGCGTACACAGCATCTGCTGACGCAGCTCGCTGGGTGTGTCTGCAAGACTGGCTGTCTCTTCCTTACCCAGCTGGTGTAACCAAAGTGTTTCATACCTAAACTTGATGGGGAAAATGATGTTTCAAAATGTTTTTGGATTCCGAGCCCTAGTCATGTTCTTGCTGCCTTGTCTTATCTTCTAGGGGCCTGGCTGGGGACTTGCTTGGTGGCCCAGTACTTAAGCTAGAGTGTAACTTTAGAGGTGTAAAAAAGGATGCTTGAGCTCAGGTTGGGAGCCAGGAAAGGCAAAGATGCTTTTTGCTTGTCTTACTCCATCACTTATCCCTGATTCTATTTTGTAGACAAAACTCTTCTCTGGATGTGGTGGCTCTCTTCTCTGGTGTTTTGCTTCAAAGGAGGTGCAGGAGGCAGGTAACCAGAGCAGGGATTACAGCCAGTCTGGAGGCTGAAGCTTTAAGTATAGAAGAGTGGCAAGCTGTTTTCTAATCAGCCAGGAAATCGAGACATGAATTGCCCAAGAAAACACAGGCTTTTCATATTTGCCCAGCAAGTACTGGCTGCCAGCAGCTGGAGCCACATCCAACCTCAGGCTGGCAAGCAATCTGCTCTTTTCCTTTTTGAACAGGGGAAAAAATCAGCCGAGTTGCAGAATCAAAGAATCATCCTGGTTGGAAAAGCCCTTGAAGCTCCTCCAGTCCAACCATGACCCTCACCCTGACCGTTCCCAACTCCACCAGATCCCTCAGCGCTGGCTCAGCCTGACTCTTCAACCCCTCCAGGGATCCCGGGGACTCCCCCCTGCCCTGGGCAGCCCATTCCAACGCCCAACAGCCCCTTCTGCACAGAAATCCTTCCTCAGAGCCAGCCTGACCCTGCCCTGGGCAGCTTGAGGCCATTCCCTCGGGGCCTGGCGCTGGCTCCTTGGCTCCAGAGACTCATCCCCCCTCTCTGCCCCCTCCTGGCAGGGAGTTGCAGAGGGCCAAGAGGTCTCCCCTCAGCCTCCTCTTCTCCAGACTGAACCCCCCAAGTTACCCCAGCCGCTCCCCATCAGATCTGTGCTCCAGACCCTGCCCCAGCTCCGTTGCCCTTCTCTGGACACGCTCAAGTAATTCCTCCTGCAGCTCACTGCTAATGAAGGAATATAGAGCACCCCTGAAACCTCTCAAAAGTGGTTTTCTGATGCCGTGGGGGAAGATGTCAAGAGAGCAGCAGGGACCAGGATCTCCAGGCAGAGACACAGCCCCCAGTTCACGACGTATCAGCACCTCTTAGTTACCAGTCCCCAGGCAGATGCCTGTGCACTGGTTGGTCAGGCAGCTGCCGGAGAATGTAGGCAGGAACTGTGAAGCAGGCAGGCTGTAGTCTCTGGCCCAGAGAGCTGCGTTGGCCCAGGCTTGCGCTTACTGTGCCTTCTTGCAAGATGTTCCTCAGCAGCGGGAGGTGCTCAGCGGTGAGGTCTCGAAGCGACTTGATCTCCCGGCAGTGAGTGAGGGCTATCAAGTAGAGGTCATCCAGCTGCAGACAGAAAGATGGAGGACAGTGACAAAGGTGACCATAGAAAGAGTGGATGGAAGCACGAGCCCTTTGGACCTGACACACCAACCACAGCTTTCCAGGCTGAGTTATAACAGGGTACTGCCGTTGTGTTTAACTCACGCCTGAGCTTGGTTGAATTCAGTATCGATCTCCCAGTAAAAGATGTGCTCACCCACTGCCCCTCAAAGCACCATTTCTAGAGAAATGGGGTTTTCACGGAATCATCTCAGTTGGAAAAGACCTTAAAGACCCTTCAGTCCAACCATGAACCTCACCCTGACTGTTCCCAACTCCACCAGATCCCTCAGCGCTGGCTCAGCCCAACTCTTCAACCCCTCCAGGGATCCCGGGGACTCCCCCCTGCCCTGGGCAGCCCATTCCAACGCCCAACAGCCCCTTCTGCACAGAAATCCTTCCTCAGAGCCAGCCTGACCCTGCCCTGGGCAGCTTGAGGCCATTCCCTCGGGGCCTGGCGCTGGCTCCTTGGCTCCAGAGACTCATCCCCCCTCTCTGCCCCCTCCTGGCAGGGAGTTGCAGAGGGCCAAGAGGTCTCCCCTCAGCCTCCTCTTCTCCAGACTGAACCCCCCAAGTTACCCCAGCCGCTCCCCAGCAGACCTGTGCTCCAGACCCTGCCCCAGCTCCGTTGCCCTTCTCTGGCCACGCTCGAGTCATTCAATGGCCTTTTTGGGGTGAGGGGCCCAAAACTGAACCCACTCAGCGAGGGGCGGCCTCACCAGTGCCGAGCCCAGGGCTCAGATCCCTTCCCTGTCCCTGCTGGCCACGCCAGTGCTGACACAAGCCAGGATGCCATTGGCCTTCTTGGTCCCCTGGGCACTCCGCTGGCTCCTGTCCAGCTTGCTGGCAATCAACCCTCCCAGGTCCCTCTCTCACTAGCAGCTTTCCAGCCACTCCTCCCCAAGCCTGTAGCAGTGCTGGAGTTCCTCTCCCAAACCTAGTTATAAAAGTTTCAGCGCAGCCTGGGAGGGAAGAAGGTGCAAAAAGCCCTGCAGTGCTGCGAGAGGCATCTGCTGAGCCCCAGAAAGAGCTAACTTCTGCAGCTGCCCGCCTCGTCAGTGTCTGCCGTGCTCATAGTTGCTGGTGTTGATGGCTGATCCCTCTGATTGCCTGTACCTGTCCCTTGCCAGCTGCTGGTGGCATGGAGGAGGGATGCTCCTGCCCCTCGGGGGTTTTTGTGCTTCCAGCAGCTCCATCTCCAATCCCATCTGCTAGACCCTGTCGGGGAGAATTATCTCCAAATCCTCTTACGGACAAATGCAACTATTTCTACACTGGGCTAAACCATCTCTGTTCAATACCTCATCTCCAGCTGTGGCCAGTTCTTAATGCTTGAGAAGAAAACAAAAATCCCTGCATAATTTAGCTAGCAGGGCCATGCAGTGGGGTCAGGGGGTACCTTTTCACTGAAGTGCTCATAATAGCCTGGAGTTTGTTGTTGGAGTGGTTTGAGGATAATTAACTTCAAATGTTACCAGCCATGAAATTATTTGGTCATCTTAAAATCAAGTTGCTGGGCTTTGGGGTTTTTTTCTACTCTAGTTGCAGGGAATGTGCACTAATTCATAAGCTTGGATTAAACGTGCCTGAGGTGTTGGGATTTTTTTCTCTGCTGGTTTATAAATCGCTTGTTTCTCTTTTCAGTGGGTGTATAATATCCTGGAGAAGAAAGCTGAGGCTGATCGAATCATCTATGAAAACCCAGATCCTTCCAATGGCTTTGTTCTAGTTCCAGATTTTAAGTGGAATCAAAACCAGGTTTGTTTGCTCCTCTTACCTTTGAAGGGAAGCTGCTTGTCTGAAGGTAACCCAGAGGAAATGTCCACTTCTGTGCTAATAGCACGCTGATGAAAGTTTTAGTAGGGGAGTATGTCCTTCCCATTAGCAGTGACATTAAGTGATGATATTGTCAGGGCCTTTTATCACGTGTTAATTGTGGATGCTGCAAAGCACAGGCTGTTCTCACTGCTGCTGGGTGATTTATTCATTAGCTTCGCTTTCTCTTTCCTGTATTTGCCCAAATGTTGTTGTGATGTGTTTGAAACTAAATCCAGCTGCCTGTTTGTTCCTGTTGAACTTGTTTGGGTGTTTTGTTTTTGGGGTTTTTTTTAAGCCTCAACTTTAGGCTCAAACCGGGCAGATGTGTTGTCCTTTGGTTGTTGCAATTAGCTCTCCTCCACACAGGATTAAACAGATGGTCGTTAGTTTATGAGAGCTGCTTAACCCCTCGTGGGAGTGGCCACTCATTGAAACACAGAAGTTTTTAAACCCAGGCTGTAATCCTAAACTGAGTGGCTCATTATTTCCTTGGGTTCTGGCTCTTTTCCGTGTTGTGCTTCTAGGGAGGTGAAACTCTGTGTGCACCCGTTAAAGTCAGTGGAGTCAAAGTCCTCTTCAGGTTTCTGATCCTCAAAATGCAGAGGGCAGGGAGGGAAAGTTTTATATGATTAAAACTTCAAAATGGGAACTAAAAAACCCTAAAACTAAAAAAAAAAAACAACCTTAAAAAAATGGGAACACAAGCCTGCTCATGGGCCACACAGTTATGTATTTCTGTGCGGGGGGGCACCTGGTTTTGGTCTAGTGCGAGTTACCTGGAAAATGACGTGGGGAGGATGGGTGAGTAGGTCACTACAGGGTTGTTTGCGGTCACTGTGAATTCCTTGCACGTCAGCTACTCTAAAAAACCTTTTGTCAGCTTCCACGGGGTAACCCAGCTTCAATTTCCGCTTGTTCGCCGGGAGGCATGACCTTCCTGGAGAGACTTTGCAAAGCGGTGATGCCTGGCAAGCTTGCAGTCATGCTTATGCCACTGTGCCTTGTTCAATGCCCTTTACTTTCAGGGTAGGAATAGTTAGGGATGCTAAAAAGAGCAGTGCATAGCCTCTTTCCTTGCTTTGACCAAAGCCTTGGCAGTCAGAGGGACCTGGGGGTGTTGATCAATAGCTGGCTGAACAGGAGCCAGCAGTGTGCCCAGGGGGCCAGGAAGGCCAATGGCATCCTGGCTTGTGTCAGCACTGGCGTGGCCAGCAGGGACAGGGAAGGGATCTGAGCCCTGGGCTCGGCACTGGTGAGGCCGCCCCTCGCTGAGTGGGTTCAGTTTTGGGCCCCTCACCCCAAAAAGGCCATTGAATGACTCGAGCGTGGCCAGAGAAGGGCAACGGAGCTGGGGCAGGGTCTGGAGCACAGGTCTGCTGGGGAGCGGCTGGGGGAACTGGGGGGGTTCAGTCTGGAGAAGAGGAGGCTGAGGGGAGACCTCCTGGCCCTCTGCAACTCCCTGCCAGGAGGGGGCAGAGAGGGGGGATGAGTCTCTGGAGCCAAGGAGCCAGCGCCAGGCCCCGAGGGAATGGCCTCAAGCTTCCCAGGGCAGGGTCAGGCTGGCTCTGAGGAAGGATTTCTGTGCAGAAGGGGCTGTTGGGCGTTGGAATGGGCTGCCCAGGGCAGGGGGGAGTCCCCGGGATCCCTGGAGGGGTTGAAGAGTCGGGCTGAGCCAGCGCTGAGGGATCTGGTGGAGTTGGGAACGGTCAGGGTGAGGGTCATGGTTGGACTGGAGGAGCTTCAAGGGCTTTTCCAACCAGGATGATTCTCTGATTCTGTATATCATTGCTCGTCACAGCCAAGGTTCACAATTCATAACAGGGTTGGAGACAGATGGGATAAAAGTTTTGCTTTACCTTGCTCTAGAGACATGTTGTATCTACATCTTGTCAGGGAGGGCTTCAGTGGTAGGATTTGTCTTTAGGGGAGGTTTCCCATGCTGCTGTCACTTCCTGGTATTGTTGAACAAGATCTTGATTTCTTCCCAGTGGCTGTCTGCAGCAAGAGAGCCGTCATCCCTGGGGCTGTCCAGGTTGCCTGTCTCTTTCCCAGGCCAGAGAGCCAGCATGCCAGCAAGGGCTGTCGACTTCTGCCTTTGAGCCAAGGAATTTCTCCTTGGCTGTGGGTGATGCTGAGCCAGGGCTGCCCGCAAGCACCAGTTCCTTCTGCTGTGACCCATGGAACAGGCAAGGCTGCTAAATTAAACGAGGGGAGCGAGACAGAGCTCCCAGCAGGACTCTTCAAGGCTCCCCGTAAAGTCCCTTCAGCAGTGTTTCCCTGTGGTAGCTTAGCACCCGATGCTGCAAATTCACGTTCAGTTAATTCAGGCTGATGGATGGGAGGAAGATTTCTCCTTTGCGTTGTGAAGTTTGCACGCTTGGTGCCAGCCTCAACCTCCTGGGCACTGCATCAGCCTCTGGTGCCCAACCTTAGCAACGGTTTGAGTTGGTTTCTTCAGCGTGGTTTTTTTTTTATTATTACTTTAAAAAAATTTTGTGGTTTTTTTTTTTTTTTTTTCTTCTCCCCACTACTTTTGAGTTGATTTCAAGCCTGCAGGAGCCCCGAGGCGTTGCTTGAAACAATGCCCGGCATGACATCATTCAGGGCCTTTTTAGCAACAGGCTTATTTGTTTCAAACAGCAACATGCAGATGTTGTTCTAAGCAGAAGAGATGTTTGCTTTTCCTTCTGCCAGCCAACCATGATCCAAAGAGAACAGGCTGATACACCATCTTTTTCCAGATTTGTGCCCAGGCTGCTTTGGGAACCAAACTGAACCGTGATTGCTGTGCTGGCAGAGTGTGAGTAGCAGCTTCATATTTTGAGAGCCCTGAGACAGGGTCCTGAGAGCATCTTCTGGCACAAGCATCTGTTTCCAAACAGCCAGATGGGTTTTTCAGAGCCCTTAAAAGATCTGCTGGATCTCAAATATCTAAACCCTTTGCTTTGAAGTGTTTGTATTAGAAAGCCACTAACTGAGCTGGAGGAGGTGGGGATCTTTTTTTTTTTTTTTTTTTTTTTTTTACGTCTTGTTAAACATTGAATTCGGTAAGTGCTTCAGGAGATGCCAAAGGTCTGGCTGAGAGCTGCTGAATGGTTGTATTTTACTGCACTAGGGTTCTCCGGTGACCGATTAGGTCTTGAAAATAGTTATTTATAGAACTGGCACAACTGGAAAGTGGCCGGCTATTTGCACAGTGGAAATATAGGAAGCTTTTCACTCGGAAAAATCTACAGTTGCAGTTTTGGCTGCTGCGATTCACTGTAAATCCTCGTCTGAGCGTGGAGATAAACCATTCGCTTGCTCTGCAGAACGGGCCATGCTCGCTGTGGTGTCTGCACGTGGGGGTTGCTGGCAGACCCCGCGGCCTCCTGGGCCTCAGTTTCCCTCATGTAGCAAGATGGGTGGTTGCACCCCTTTTGCCAGCCTCAGTCTGCGCGTTTTTGATAAGCTCACAGAGATGATGTGAATGTGCAAAAGCAGCAGCAAGTGCTGTGTTTGTGGTCTAGAGAAGCTGATGGATCGATCTGCCTTTAAAGCTGAGAAGATACTTGAGATCCTGCTGTTGATCGATGGGGATGAAGCTGTCCTCTTCTGATCATTTCTGGACAAAACCTTACTCCAAAAAGGCCATTGAATGACTCGAGCGTGTCCAGAGAAGGGCAACGGAGCTGGGGCAGGGTCTGGAGCACAGGTCTGCTGGGGAGCGGCTGGGGTAACTGGGGGGGTTCAGTCTGGAGAAGAGGAGGCTGAGGGGAGACCTCCTGGCCCTCTGCAACTCCCTGCCAGGAGGGGGCAGAGAGGGGGGATGAGTCTCTGGAGCCAAGGAGCCAGCGCCAGGCCCCGAGGGAATGGCCTCAAGCTGCCCAGGGCAGGGTCAGGCTGGCTCTGAGGAAGGATTTCTGTGCAGAAGGGGCTGTTGGGCATTGGAATGGGCTGCCCAGGGCAGGGGGGGAGTCCCCGGGATCCCTGGAGGGGTTGAAGAGTCGGGCTGAGCCAGCGCTGAGGGATCTGGTGGAGTTGGGAATGGTCAGGGTGAGGGTCATGGTTGGACTGGAGGAACTTCAAGGGCATTTCCATCTGGGATGATTCTGGGATTCTTTGGTGAAGCTCACGACCCAGCATGCAGAGCTCTTGGCACAGAGGTGTGGAGCTGGAGCAGCTCCCTGAGGCTGGGCTTGTATCTCTGCGAGGGTTTTTATTCTGCTCTTGGTCCTGTTGATGCTGCCCCACATTGTGGCTGTGGGGGGATGCTCTGGGATCACCCCAAAACGAGCCCATCCCACCGTCACCAGTGGGAGGGAGCTGGAGACCAAGAAGATCCTGGGAAGTGAAGCTTTGCAGCCTCTTTTAATATTCTGTCTTGGGGGCACAGTAAAAATAGACATTTGGGATACATTATTATTGCTGTTGTTTTATTGAACACCGTTTATTGTTCTCAGATGCAATAAAGCTACTAGGGGAACCTGAGAGACCAAAGGGTCTAAATATCCTTCAAGCAAATCCCAGCTCCCCCCCGCTGAGCTGCGACCCCAATAATTATCTTAGGTTTGTCTATGAGCCGGTGGTAATTAAAGCCTAATTACAGCAGGCTGGTCTGTCACCACGGTAAAACTCTCTGCCCTGTTACCTTGCATCTTGCTGGCAAGGAAACTCCATCCTACCTAGGCTGAGGGATGAAACACGGATGCTCTTCAAATATTGATGTGGTTGCTCAATTAGCCTTGGCAATACCGGAGCCACCAGCTCAACAGGTATTTTATCAATTAATATTGTTGGCGCTGGATATGTTGGTCTTCAAATGGGGCTGGTGCCCTCTAGGTTCCCGCTAGCTCTTGCTTTCCAGCCTGGTGAAGGGGAATGAACTTTGTTTGCCTTCAGCAACAAGCTGCTTGCTCCCAGCACCGCTAATTCACATTATTTCCCTGTAAAAATCAGTGTTAATATTGCTCATTATTTCTGGGATTGGCTAAACCCCATCTCAGCGCAGGAGGGATGGATTTTGGGACCGTAGAAATAAAAACCCTTGCGTGATCAGCTGCTGGTTTTGTGTATCATGGTGATGGGATGGAAATAAAATCCCTCGGGAGACCGAGGTGGCCGGGTATGGGGTGTTCCTGCGGTGGGAATTTGCAGAAAGAAACCCCAAACCCAATGGATATTCAGTTGATGATTTTAAGCAAAGCCACCCCCACCCTCCGCGCATCACCACGGGGTCTGTGGGCCCGTGGATTTGATGGGGGAACGGTGCGAACCCCCCCGGCCCCGGTGGGGAAAGCACTGCACCCACACACACCCCCCCGCCAAAATTTCCTGTGAGCTGCTCTTATTTGGGGGGATTTGGGGGGGATTTGCGTTAAGGAAAGGGGACTGAGCCCACCTTAAGTTTGCTTGGGGCGGGGGCTGTCCCCAGCGCTGTGATTTTGGGGGGTCCGCTGTGTATGGGGAGGAGGGGGTTTAGTTGTCCTCCCCCACCTCTCCGCTGCCGGGGGATGGAGGAGGGGGGGAACCGGGTGCCTCCAGCTCATGGGATGCTCTTCCCTCCCTC